AATAGAGGAGAATTGGCTAGGTATTTTTCTGAAAAAACCTAAGGAAGAACTCTACCAAAGTTAGCGCTCAAGAGGATGAGAGAAAGAGATTTTATAAATTTAGATTTTTCTCCAAAAAATCATCCTTAAAGTGGCGTACAATCAAGGGAGATAAATTCATATTTTTTTTCTCCAAAAATATGCCTTAAAGTGGAGCACAATCAAGGGAGAAAAAGGTGGAGTTGTTTTAATTCAAAATTCTAAACAACCTTCATTTTTCATCCTCATGAGATTAGGTCTTAACCTAATCAAATATTCTGACTTAATGGCCATCATATGGCCAGCCATATGTGCGACCCATTCAGCCCAAGAAACTGTCCAGATACGTTGAGTAGTTGCATTCATATTTGAATCAACTCACTCACTTATTCTCTCATCAAATCAAATCATATTTGAGCTTATCTGGTTGACAAGATGACACTCATCACAACCTATAATAGCGCCCCAAATCAGCCTTGAATGAGATCAAACATCTCCTCTTGATACTAGGGATTTGTTCCAATCAAGATCTTATCTTACATTTTGTTATGAAACAATTTTTCATAGCCAATTTAAATTCGAATTTAATCATTTAAATTCAAACGTTCAAATATTTAAATTCAAAATTCAAATTCAAATTTCAAAATTCAAATTTCAAAATTCAAATTCAACTTTCAAAATTCAAATCCAAATTCAAAATTCAAATTCAAATTTCAAATTTCAAATTTCAAAATTCAAATCCAAAACTCAAAATTTAAATATTTGATAATTAATTTAACTAATTAAATTAATTAATAATGTCTTGGACCATCCAAGCCCATTAACCATACCATGCGCCTTCTCCCTCTTATGAGGGCTTCCAAACTTCTTCTTGGGCTAACAACAATTATTAGGCTCAATACCTCCCAATACCTTTAATGCTATATCATCTTGACAATAAGGTGTTAGTGTGTGACCCATTAGGCCCAACATAGCGACTGACATAAATGGGCTTGGGCCCAACAAGCCCACAACCCATCTAATGACAACACAGAGCACTAGCAATGCTTTGTTGTCCTAGAGCTAGTTAGATTAATGACTTGATCATCTTATTATACATATTTGGTTACCGTATATATTTCCTTTCGTCTCGGTTACCTTCCCATTAAACCTAGGGTAAGGAAACGTATCAACCCTTGCGGTTTCGGCAGATCATCTCATGATCTCTTTTACTATGCATAGATTCTCGAGTCCCTGTAAATGTCATCCTGATTTTTCCGGTTTACAGATAACCTAATCTCTCACAGAGATTTGACGAATTCCTTCAGCTTATCACCCTAGCCCTGTGCTCTTTCAGGACAAGCCCAACAGTTTACTTATGAGTTTCCATGTTTCAGGCAGACGAGGTATACAGTCAAAGTGTGCCTTCTAGAACACAGTATAGGTAATAACTTCCAGTCTAAGGAAAGACATACCCAAATATAAAGAGACTACTCTAATGATACTCTCTGTGAGATTTCCTCATAGAGTCTCTTTGTGGGTCTGTTCAGTGCGAGCTATACCCTTATAGGTCCACCCACGACTTTAGCTAAGACATCTCCATATTTGTAGCTCATGATTGATTGTGTGTGAGAAGTGTGTTTGTAGAACACTATTTTGTGATCAATAAAATATCTACAGGTACTTCAATATATTTCATATAGCATTGTGAAATTCCAGTGGGAATATAGAGACCTGAAGTAAAATAATAAAATTGTTATATTTGTTTAACTGATAACTGAATTGGAAATTGCAAAATAAATTGAGGATTGTCAATCTAGTTGATTTGGTATGTTACTTGAACTTGTTAGTTCAATTTTGTCTAAACTATTCAAATTTAAAGATCTATGTGTCAAAAAAATTTCCGTAAGCATTATGTATGAAAAGTTACTTGCCCAACACACCAATCATAACTACCATTACAAAAGCCACTTGCAAGAGACAAGAAAAACTTACTAGTTAAAGGTTTCAATTTTCTCAAGAATTCATGCTTAACAGGAGAAATTTGGTGGTTTATAGTGAGAAAATGAAACAAGTGGATATTTTGGCATACTTTTAAGGGTGTGCATGACAACTATTCTATTCCCTAGCACTATTTCTAAAAAGAAACAATTCTTTTCTATTTATGTGCTTGGAACAGTTTCTAAGGAAAACAATATGTTTGGTAACATGTTCTATTTTTTTTCGATAATGAGAATTGTGTTTGATAACACAACAAATAATATAATAAAATATAATTCCTATTAAATATAAAAACAATTGGATCACCACTTTCCTTTCCATATGGCGTGGTTGTGGTTGTGGTGACGGCGGCGATACAGTAGTGGTGGTGGCAGTGACATGATGATGATAGTGGTGGTGGTTGTGACGGCAATGGCGGTGATAATGGTGGCGACAGCGACAGTAGTGGTGGGGATGGTAGTGGTGGAGGTGACGACAGTGGCTGCGACAATGGTGTTGGGGATGGTGGTTGGTGGCAGTTGTGGTTGGTGACAATGGTAGCGGTGGCATGGTGGTGGTAGTTGTAATGGCATCATGGTGGTGGTGGTGGTAGTGGCAAATGTGGCTGCGACAGTGGCAATGGCGGTAGGTGACAGCGGAGGTGGTGGCGATAACGTGATGATGGTAGTGGCGGGGGTGGTGACGGTAGTGGCTATGACGATGGTGATTGTGGTTGGTGGCAGTGGCAGTGGTGACGATGACCGTAGTGGCTGCGACAATGGTAGTGGTAGTTGGTGATAATGGTGGTGATGGTAGCGATGACATCGTGGTGGTGGTAATGGTGGTGATTGTGGTGGTGGCAGTGGTGTGATGATGGCGATGGTGGCGGTGGCGGTGCCAACAGTGGTTGGAATGATGGTAGTGGTAATGATGACAGTAATAGTGGTGGTGGCATAGTGGTAGTGATGGGTGGAGGTGGCGGTGACATCGTGGCGGTGGGGGGTTGGTGACGACGACACTAGTAATACGACGACATCGACGATGGTGGCGGTGGTCGTGTCGGGATGATGGTGGTGGTGATAATGATGGTAGAGGTGGAGAGTGATTAAAATGGATAAGTGTTTCTTATTTTGTGTCCGAGAACAAAAAAACAAAAAATTTCTGATTCTTTTTTCTGTTCCCTAGCACAAAAATTAAACCGGTTCATCTTGAAATCAAAAAAATAAACTGATTTTACTAAAGGAGAAAACTATTTATTTCTGTTCCTGAAAACAAAAATTAAAAAAAAAAATGATTCCGAAAAAGTTATCATACACACCTTAAGTAATCTGAAAATATGGCTAGTTCTTTGGTCAACAACATTAAGTAATAATTTTTCCATTTATCTTATTGATAAAAGTTTTTTTAGAGTTTTTTCCCCATAAATTTTCACCTACAGAATTGCATATTCGTGATAACGAGCGAAATTTTTTGAATCCTCATACCGCACATTAGTGCCATTAAAACACTATTACTTTTTTTTTTTTTTGGTAATCTTTAAAACACTATTACTATTTCTATATACCAATATCAAATTGAGAACGTGCGCACGGAAAAATTATCGAAGAACTTAAAACAACAGTCTTCAGTTCATTTTTCTATCCTTCAATATTTCTTAAAGATTATGTATGTAATAATTAGATCAGAGAAATTTAACTTGCTCAAAAGATTACGTAAAATTAATAATCAAGATGCAGAAAATAAAAATAAAGAAATTGCTAAATCACAACAAAAGTTGGAAGTTTAATTTTTTTTAAAATGAAATTCAAAAGAATGCAGCTAAGACAATTGCAATGATTTGGTATATGGTAACTATACTATCTCGTATATTAGAAATACACTGAAATCATGGTTCTATTAATTGGAATGTTGCATTAGCTGAACCCAAATTCTGCACTTATAGTAAAAGTTGAACACAGGCCAAAAAAATGCACAGCACAAGAAAAAAAGAAGAAGCAAGACTACAAATAAGGCCTACAGCTGACACATATCAGGTAATTTACATGCAAACACATAAAAATGTAAATACAGTTCATTCTCTTATGATGCTCCTAGCACAAGCTCTCGTGCACCAAGAAAAAAAAAAACATTGAAGATGAAAAATCAAATATAATAAGTAATGAAAACGTTATTATAGAGTACTTCCTTTTTCTTCATGAGCTTTCTCTGCTTATCCACTATTATCACCCAACAATCTAAATGATTTCATCATACCTATAATTCAAATAAGAAAGGAAGAAACTAACCCTCCCTCAAATCTCATGGGCCAAACATGTTGATTTTAAAAAAATAGAGAATTAATAGTGCTAATTCCATGGATCAATATCAAGCTAAGCATATTTGCGTAGGATAATTATCAAATAACTTAAAATCAAAAGAAATCATAGTATTCTGAATCTATATTTCGTGCACTTCAATATTGCTTTAAGATTTTGCAATTACTAGATCATTGAAATTTAACTTCCTCAAAAGATTGTAGACAATTAGTAATACACTAGTCTTAAGCTTTCACTACTTAGAAGAAATTACAGAATCTATAAAATCTTCTTTACAGCAGATGACTTCCTAGAAGATACAAGAGTCAAATTAGGACTTGGATCTAAGTGATTGAAGTTGAGAACAGACAAAGAACAAACATGCACAAGTAATTATAGTACTTGATATATGATGTTAGGATTCAGCCTTACTATGAGATTTCGGCTTTGTAATGCTAATTGCAAATTTGGGGATCTGCATATAGCAGATTGGTTACAATCCTTTGTTATTGAAAAAACAAAATCATCTTATATAAGAAGTTAATTTTTGGCCAGATACATGATAATCAGAACCTTAAAGCTATAATAACACAAAAAAATATTCCTTTTTAGCAAAATCTGTATGAACCCTTGCGTGAAATAGAAAAAAAAGAAGAAGAAGAAAACAATCATTGGTACAGTAACAAGTCGTTTAATTGAAAAAATAAGACAAAGTCAATATCCTTGCAGCTAATAATGAGAATGCATAAATTCAGTAAATTGAAACGAAAGTTTACAAGTTACAGAGCGCCTTCTGCAGAAGGATAAATCTTTTATCATTTTGAGCTTTACATCTTGATTACTGGTGCAACTGATGATTTTCATTGACTGTAAAAGTCGTGCATTCCGCAAGATATATCTTACAAATCGAAACTCACCTTTCGAACTTTGATAATTATAAAGACGGCATGTTTTAAGGTGTAAAGAGATGGATTCAGGAACAAATTGTGGGTACGGCCAATCTCCTCCTCCTACTTCTTCTTCGTCGAATTTACCGGGCCAAGACTGTTATCGGTAGACATAAAATAAAAATTAATAAAAACACGTGAACAAAAGATTAAAACAAAAATCATCCTTCAAGACCTAAACTTTACAAACCTGATCAATGAACAAAATTTGAAGCTTAGGGCAACGCTTGAGCACTTCTACTATCTCAAGCCAATCTCTGATAAAATAATAATAGATGAGTTCAATATGGGTTAAATTGAGAAACATGGGAATAGGGTATTGGAAGCCCCGAATGTCACACATCTGCAAGAGTTACAAATAGAGACAGTCAGAAACCCATTTCCCATAAAACTGAAATTAAATGACATATAAATCACATTTTCAGTACCCCCAATATTCTCAGAAGCTCTACATTACGAACGGATTCTAACGGAACATGAACTTTATGAACATAAGCTCTGACCAACTTGGGCAAGCGTTTAAACTCTCCCACAATAAGAGAGTCATCAAATTCCACCTGATCTTCTTCCAAATACTCAAGAACTGGACATCCAGAAAGAAACTTCGCGAGATTTCTACTTCTTTTGAAAAGAATGCAGTACAAATGCAGGATTTTAAGTGAGGGAAGATGAACAGGCAAATGAGCTTTCACTGTTAATCCATACAACTTGAGAACCACGAGGGTTCTGCTGCTGAGAATGGCAGATGGCAAGCTCAGCTTCCAGTTATTATCCCAATACGGTGGCAGAGAGAGATCCAAGTGCTCAACTCCGCGTTCTGCTGCAGCATTCATCCATGCCCTGAGATTGCTATGACCAGCTAGAGAAGAATCAGACTTGAGGCGAAATCTTTGTATGGGTTGGTGCAAATCTCGCGAGTAGATAGCGACATATACTGACTGAACAAAGCGACGATAGATCTCTCTGCTTTGGTCGTAACCACTATCGTCGAAGTCGAGAGTAGGGACTGAGCGCCAAAGTGGTCTCCACCTTCTTGAGAGAATACTTGTAGCAACACATAGTTTGGTTGGTAGAAAAGACAGAATATAACATAGCACTGCGTCCGGTAAAGTGCTTATCCTATCAGCTTTCTTCTTTCGAGTTTTCATAGCAAAAAAAAGGAAGGAAGAAAGCGATTTTATAAATAAGAGAATCTCGTAAACGCTTCTCTAAGTTGTGATTTCCACAATCTTAACAAAATCATAGAATAGCCACTTCAACTTGTTAAGATTCTGCTCACCATCCCCGAGACTCCCCCCCGTCTACCGTTTGCTGATAACAAGTTGGAGCTCGGTTTTCGAGGTTCTCTGAAGAAGACGAAGAGCCTACCAATTTGAAAAATTTGGGATTTTTGGGTTTGTGGTAGCACTTTTTTGGGTACAATTGGTAGCGCTGCTATTTTTTTTTTTTTTCGGGAAACAACATGTATCGCTGATTTAAACCAGGGAAAACTTGCTCTCTTTCACATATTGTATCAGTTAAATTCTTTTAAATTTATATTTCTTATTTATTATTGAGATAGATTATTCTCTTACTTATTTTTCTGTTTACTTTTGCTTACCACTTTTCAAAATTATTAGATCAAAATCTTAATAAAAAAGATAAATAATGAAAGTAGTTAAAATTCTGATCTAACAATGTTGAAGAATGATAAAGTGAAGATATATAATTAATAATAATAATCACTTAAATTTCTACAGTGATTATTATATATATGATAAAATTATTTTTACGGTGGCTTTACATACAACAATGAAATGTGTATAGTTATAATCCTCTATATTTAATGTTTTCATCTTTTGTATAATTATAATTTTCCAAATTTAATATTTTTACGTATATATATATAACAAGTATTTGACTGTTGTACGTACAACAGCTATATATATATATATATATATATATATATATATATATATATATATATTTCTTAGTTTTTATTCCATAGTAAATTAGTAATATAATATTATCAATTAATATCATGATATAATCAAGTATTAAAGAATAAATAAAAATTTACTAAAAAATATTTCAAATATAATAAACTTAAAAATAAGTAATTATTAAATTTTACAATAAATTATTTTAAGATAATATATTTTTATTTACTTTAAAAAATTATTATTTTGCAATAATTTTAAAAGTAATATTAAATAAATAAATATAAAGCATTTTTAATTTAATAGGTAATACTTAATTGTATTATAATTTTAATTAATAATATCATAATAATATAAAATAAAAATTAAGAAAATAAATAATTATATGAATAAAATTTCAAGAATTATAAAGAAAGATAAATGCCATTTTAGATTCATGCTAGCTACAGCACATACGGGGAAAATTAACCCCTAGTGAGTCATTCTGCATTAAGGGGCCGTTTGGTACTCGGATAATTTTTGCATCCCTGGGAAAGTGCTATCTGGATTTTGCAATAGCCATGTTTGGCAACACAAAAATGATAAATATCCCTGGCAACAAGTTTATCCGTTATTTGCATTTCATGTATGATTTGTATCGAAAGAATGGAAACATGTTGTCCAACTCAAAAACGACTTTCGTGTTTGCCCGGGGAAGTGAAATGTGAACCGCGAATGCAAATACGAAAATAACCCTCACTTTTGTACGATCTGTGCACTGATGGTGAATCTGATTTGACTGGTTGGTGGTGGGATAAAAGGCGTGTGGAAAATTGGCGCGAAAGAGCCTTATGTCTGCCATTTCTCCCTCCATTTCCTATCCGCGCAAGTGAGAAGGAAGAAGCTGATTCCTTGCATGTGACTTCTATTGTCGGTATGACTCTTCCCTTGTATGACACTTGCCTTCTATTTAGTCTTCCATCTAATTTCTTCTTTCATATCTGCAGTCCGGGTGCTAGAACGTGTTGAAGGAAATCGTTTTTTGTTCAACCAAAGTCACTTCCATTTTTGCTGAGGTGGGTCATACTCTGTTTTGGACTTCATTTGTCCATATTTGGGTTGTGAGGGAAAACTAATTTTTTTTGGATCTTTGCTTTTTTTATACACGTGTTCATCTGTAGCTTATGTGTTGTGGTCATCTTAGACCCAGCACAACTTCGAGTCATATGCGATCAGTGATGCTATATTGTGCTTGTTTGGAAATAATATTAAGACTCCCAAATGATGTGTAGATATTTGATGTGGTCCGATCCTGCATGCATGTTTGTGAAGAATATATATGTAAGTTTGACTATGATTTAGGTTTGCCTTAGGTGTGAAAGCATTTATTTCATGAGTCTAACCTGCCCATGGTTGCAATGAGTCCAGTAATGTGTGTTGTTTTAAATGAAGTTGTGATTATCAAATTGAAAGGACAAAAAACACTGATAGCATATTTTGATTTCTCATATATAATATTGTTCATTCATCTACTTTTCGCTCCAAGCAAACTTGATAATGAAAAAAATTAAAAACCTAGGGAGTAAAAAAATCTGTAAAGATATATATTTAAAAAAATATAAAAAATAGGAAGTAGTAGGATCATCTCAATTTTTTTCCCCATCGTTTTTCCTTCCTTAGACATAGTAAAGAATGAAAGACAGAGATTGGAAGGTGAATGAGTTTTTTAATCAGTCGAGTTTTACTTTCCTAGTTACGTGACCTTTTATTCCAATATATTAACCAAAATTGTCATGACAAAAACTCTGGTTTTGTTTTCTGCGTGAACTTCCAAGATTCCCACTGGCCCTGGTTTTGTTTTGTGTGTGTTGTTTTAAATGAAGCTGTCTTGGTGGAGCATGTGAGGTATGTTGTATGCAGTCATCCATATATTGGAATGCTCATTACATGTAATTGCAAATAAATTTTTAGCATTAAGCAGTATTGAGCTGTGAGTTGTGTTGTAAACTGTTATGTTATGGATTTAACATAACATGAAATTGCAAAATAATTTTTGACTAAATGTGAAATTCGAAATTGAGAAGGGATAGGATAAATGAATTTATAAAAATTGTGGCAGCATGCATTTACAAACTAGTACATGAGTTGAACATGTGTTAACATATATCTACCTCATTATTTGCACTGAACCAGATTACAATCCTTGTCCTATATTTGAGCAATATGGCTGATTGTGTTGTGATGGTTTGAATCTCGTTCATCATCGTTGGATTAATGTTAATTACTCTTGGCTGTGTTGTGTTAGATTGAGGAGATGAACACAACAATGGCGTTGAGTGTCATTATTGTTATCATTTGTCATTTGCAAAATTTGAATCACCGAACTATGTTATTATTGAGAATTTATGGTGTAATATTAGCTCACATTGAAAGAAGGAAAAGGAAAACGAGGAGATTGAAGTGGGATTTTTGCAGTAGGGTGCCTACGAGGGAAATGAATCTGCATAGAATAGTGTATATTACTGACACCGCTTGTATTGAGAATACAAGGATGGATAGGAGAAGCTTTCATAGTTTGTGTGATATGTTGAAAACTATTGGGATGCTTCAACCGACGAGGCACATGGGGGTAGAAGAGCAGGTTGCAATCTTCCTTCATATTTTGGCTCATGATGTCAAGAATCGAGTTATTAAAAGACAATTTATGAGGTCAGGTGAGACAATAAGTAGACAATTCAACAAGGTGTTGCTGTCTGTTTTAAGGTGTCACACCGTACTGCTTAAACGGCCTGATCCCATCCTACAAAACTCAACTGATGATAGATGGAAGTGGTTCAAGGTACTTGTAAAAATTCACTATGTTTGGCGCATAATTCACAAAGGTCATTCTCTCTTTTATATTGACTTGTTTTATTTGTTTGTTTTGTTGGGTTCATAGAATTGCCTCGGAGCTTTGGACGGGACGCACATCAAGGTTAATCCCTTACAAGCTGATAAGGCAAGATACCGCAGTAGGAAGGGTGAAATTGCGACAAACGTTTTGGGTGTCTGCTCGCAGGATTGCCAATTTATTTATGTGTTGCTTGGATGGGAGGGATCAGCTGCAGATTCAAAGGTGCTCATAGACGCTATCTCTCGTGGAAATGGGTTAAGGGTCCCAAAAGGTAACTACCGAACATCACACACATTCTTCGCAGAGAGACATAACATTTATACCACAGTCCCACAGTGTTCCTCACAAATAATTGCTGTTGTCGTAGGTTTCTATTATTTGGCCGATGCCGGTTATATGAATGGGGAAGGATTCCTAACACCTTATAGAGGGCAAAGATACCATCTGAGTGAGTGGAGACATGGGGCACAACCAACGACACCGCAAGAATTTTTTAACATGAAACACTCCCAGGCTAGGAATGTGATTGAAAGATGCTTTGGGTTGTTGAAGGGTCGTTGGGCCATTGTCAGGTCAAAGTCTTTTTATCCGGTGAAAACGCAGTGCCGCATAATCACTGCTTGCTGCCTGCTTCATAATCATATTAGGAATGAGATGCCTATTGACCCTTTAGAGGATAATACTGTGGACATGGCTGAAGCAGCAGACAACTTCGAAGGACAGAACTTGATAACTCATGTTGAGTCATCAAATGCTTGGACAAGGTGGAGGGATGATTTGGCCCAACAGATGTTTGATACATGGAGGAATGGTGTTTGATTTGGTTTAGGACTTTGTGTGATTTATAATGTTGTTGTGTTTTGGTTACATCGACTTAGTTTCATTTCATAACATTTGTGTGATTGTACTGAACTCTTTCTTTTTCTATGTGAGGCTATGTAATAGATACTATATATGTCAGTTTGGTACTGTTGATTTATGTAATCTGTTTGTAACTGATTGTCTATTGATTATAGTATACAAACAACATATGTTTTTCTTAACACCTTATGCAGATGGCTGAAAAGGATTCCCAATCGAGCAAGCGGATTAATCACACGTGGACATCAGAAGAGGACAAGGTGCTTGTTGATTGTCTTGTTGATTCCGGTTTAGCATGGAAGGGTGAGAATGGTTTCAGGCCAGGATTTCCCAATCACTTAGAGAAGCTGATGCATGCTAAAATTCCTGGATGTACACTTAAGGGCACTCCACACATTACGTCTAGAATCAAGCTCCTAAAGAAGCACTACAATGCCATTGCTGAGATGATGGGGCCGAATGGGGGTAGTGGTTTTGGGTGGAATGATAGGGACATAATGATTGACGTGGAGAAGCATATTTACATGGACTGGATTAAGGTAAAACTCATTATTGTGAACAAAAAAATTATCATATTGTATTGCATTTTCTTTGTTATAATTTATTGTTCTAATGACACACTGAATTGTATTATCCTTGCAGACTCACCCTAATGCCAAGGGTCTCTACAAAAAACCATTTCCATACTATGACGCATTGGGACCGATTTTTGGAAAGGACATGGCAAATGGAGAGCATGCCGAGGGTCCAGAGGATGCAGTCCA